TTAAACAATGAATTTTGAACTTTTAATGATACCACTGCATTGGAAGATGGAATGACTGTAACAAGTAGTAAGAAAAGGACTGTTTTCAACTGTTCATGGCAAAATATGAGCATTTGCACTTGATTCTGAATTTTTATTTTTATTTGCAAATCAGAAAAAAATGAAGCGGCGAATCCGTTAACCAAGGAATCAAATTGGTGTGGCCTTAGATGTCAAAATGAAGGACATTTTTTTTCTTTTGCCCAATTTTTTTCTTCACACACCCACAGTTCAGGATACCCAGAGGATGTCACACATACCACCAACTCAGTGTGCCCTCAGATTTGTTTCCAGAAACCTCCAGAGAATGGACAGGGACAAATAGCCAAAGAGGATCCTCACACTTGATGTGGAGGGTCCAAACCCTGTGGTCGCCCTAGGAGGAAATGGTACGACAACATACGGGAGGACCTCCACCACCTAAACTTAGTTAAAATCAACCCACAGGACAGAGACAAGTGGCGTGCTGCCATCAAGCCCCAGTTGTATTGTGCAAGCACTTCTAACCCTCGGAAGACGGGGAACAACAGACGATAAACCGGACAGTGAGTTAGTATGAGTGAAACAGACAGGGAACCAGACTAAAGATGCATAAGAAGAGACCCCTAGCAACACTTCAAAAACTGCAGGAGCTGATATATTGATATATTAATCAATAAGTGGAATTCAATCAGTTGAATGAAATATAGTATTTGGCAAATGCAGTTTTTTGAATAAGAATCATGAAAACAATTTGTATCATAAATTGTGTGATGAATGTTGATTGTGCAAGATTTTCTGTTGCTTATTGTATTTTATATATAGTGTAAGTCTGTATTGATAAATTATTTCTTCAAGATTTTAAATTGTAAGAAGTCGACAATTCAGCCATTTAGGCTGCCACAGACTGCCAGATACGGTCATCAAAACATTGGCTGAATAAAAGACTTGGTTGTGTAGAAAGAGTCTCTTTACTCAGCACCCATATGTTGTAGAATGTGGTATAACTTAGCACATAGTCTCTCATATCATTACCTCCGGGGAAGGAGATATCCTTCCGCGAGGAGGTTTTACTATTGTTCGAAACATTTCTGTCAGCAGCTGTTTCTCGCGATCGGCTGGACGGATTTGTCTGTGGTTCGGTATACGTATTGCTGTTGGGCTGCAGATGATGCAGAACGTTTTTGTTTAATTGCATATGTGTTTATGGGCGTCGAAATAAAAGGTTTTTAAGTGCTCCGGACACCCCCGCCATGCTGAAAATGGAATTTACCATGTTGTTAAGGAATGGGGAGGTTTCAGTTTTGGGTCTTACCATTCAAAAGGGGTCAAACAGAGGGGTGTCTGGTTCCGATAAAAA